AAAGCCAGAAAACTGAATATCGAATATGAGGCTAACTTAACCGCGGTGACAGGTTCCAAGTCGTTTTCTCACTACACATGTGCTTCTGTTTTGTCCTGTTGTAAATCATTGTTAAACAGTGGCTCACCTTCTATTAAGTGTCATATGAACAGACACCTTTTTATTAGCTGTAAAACATAGAAACACGCTATTAGTGGAGGCTAGACACAACAAATCTTTCATAATGAGTTGAAATATAAATACATAGCCCTACCACTTGACATGATGTTTTTATATTTCATCTTGACTTGCTGCCACGTACGCTTTCCACTACTATTTGAAATCGGATCAGTTATTGTTAACATTAAGTTTATATTATGAGTAACATTACAGTAATGGAACTTCAGGGAGCATTGCATTACTTACCAGCATATACAGTAATAGGTGACTTCTGAATTTTGTCGCATCTGTTAGCCTCTGTAATTATTAACAGTATTTCAATTCTTTCAACCCAATTCAATTCTTTTCAGAAAACACTTAATTGTCTAATACTCGGTCGTGAGATATTTTAGACCACGTTTTATGACCGTGAAAATGTACATATGCATTTTATCCGTCGTCAATACGTTGCCAACAAGCCTGCCTGCTTTTGTTGGCTGCAGTGGTATTGGACTTTCTGTACAGTGTGGATTTAAACTCCTCATAACCCTGCATAATTAGCATGCAGTCTTCCTCCGTGAAACACATGGAGATCGCGCTACGAGTCAAACGGTGCCTTGCGTTGCCGAACGTGCTCCATTTATGTGAACGCGCACAAACTCCAATGCAGTTAACACCGATTTAACAAATCAACTTCTTAACTGGCGTCGTAGTACTGATTAGCCCAGATGGAGTCAACCTGATTTTGTCAACCTCGCGTTCGCAAATTACCTCGGGGTTAAGTCTGATTTGGTTAAACTCCCTTCGTAGTACAGGCCACTGGTGGATCAGTGGGCAGCACTGCAGCCTCACACCTCCAGTGTTGTGGATTTCATGAATTGATTGATTGATTGATTATGCATCCAACTTCCAAGCAGGTTTCCAATAGAACAGTGTTTTATAACCTGATTCTCATACCGGGAGCTGGGAGGGAGTGAAAACATGAACTGTCTGGGGGTTCTCAAGGACCGGGTTTGGAAACACCACAGTAGAAGGTCCTGCACGGCAGGGCACGTTATTGGCATCATAGGGCACAAGGCGTGGGACACCCTGGATGGGACATGGGTCCATCATAGGGCACAAGGCGTGGGACACCCTGGATGGGACTCCGGTCCATCATAGAGCACACACACTCACTCGCATACTATGGGTAGTTTATAGACACCGGTTTATGTAATGGGTTGTCTTTGGACTAACCCATATAATGTGGAAAAAACAGTGGGAGTAGGACATGAACCGCTAACACTTAAGGTGTGAGGTAATAGTACTACTCACTGACCCACTGCCCCTATTATTTTTGTCATCCATAAATTTATAAGCATGTTCTTATTTGGATAGGTGCAAGTAAAAGATGGAAATCACAAATGAAAAAAAGGCTAGAGGACTTGCCTGCACCTAATGAGAGCCAGAAGAATGCCATACAAGAAGCTCTGGAAAACCAATTCACACTCATACAGGGCCCCCCAGGTAATGCACTCCATGGCTGTTTCTGTTGTGTTGTCCAAAAAACAGTATAAATTAAGGAGTTTTATTTGCAAATCTACAGCTGAGAAAAATATAGTTCAAATAGATATGACATCACACTTGTGCTTTTGTTGGCCTGTCACACACTCATTACCTTTTATGGCATTTCTTTCAGGAACCGGAAAAACTGTGGTTGGAGTCTATCTCGTTTATTGGTTCTTCATGTTAAACAAAAAGAAAACAGAAGAGGAGTCAGCAGACAGACAAAAAGACATGAAGAAATCCTGTATCTTATACTGTGGGCCCTCCAATAAATCAGTGGATGTTGTTGCTAGTAAGCTACTGTATATCCGGTCCCAGCGATTCACAGTCAGAAATAAATTATATAGTATAGTAACTGCAGGTAACACTTTGATTGAGCGGATATGAATAATATAGGAGTACATGCTTACTTTATGCATTAATTAACCAGTAACTAAGTGTTTTTGGTGGCATTGGTACTCCAGCCACTGTAAAAAACTCACACTGTTCCATCTGGACTAGTGTGGTGCTAAGATATCACCCGCCGCACTCAGGTTCTCATCTGGTTTGCAATGCGTCATCAGCGGATGCTTCTTACCTCTAAGTCAGGGGTACATACACACCGGCCCTTTGCGGATAAGATTGCCCACCCCTGCTCTAAGTACTGATCCTATGTTCATTCATCATTAATCAATCATGACAGTTCATGTATTTCACAGGGAAACCTGTATTAGTTCATGATTTGTTCTTGAGTAGTAAATTAGTTAAGTATTTTTGCCCCCTCAACTGAAGTCTTGCCATAATTAACTAGTTCACTATTAATTAATATACTGCCTGAATGGAATACATGAACTTCACAATTGGTTAATGCTATACTGTACAAGCACAGGATCAGTATGTAAGTAACACTTAGTTACTGGTTAATTAATGCATTAAGTACTACATTATTCATGTCCCTTTAAGTAAAGTGTAACCATAACTGCAAATGCTGCTAGCTATATACAAAATCGATTACATTATCACTGAAAAATATGGCAAACCTTTAATTGGAATATTGCTCTTCTCTATTGCAGAGCAGCTTGTGAAGTTCCAGCATGTTCTGAGACCACTAAGAGTATACAGTGAACAGATGGAAATGCTGGAGTTCCCTTACCCAGGAAGCAACCTCAAACTCTCACGCAGGGCTCAGAGGGAAGCAAGGCCCAGCAACGACCTCACGTGTGTTCAACCTTTTGTCTTCATTCATATTTTTAATGGAAGTGTAGCTTAAAGTCACTTAGTTGTGCAACAGTTATCTAAAATACATTATCAGTCAAAAGTTATTGAACACACTGAGATTTTCTACATTTGCATGTTAATCACTTAACATTTACTAAAAATACACTCAATATTCTTTGCTAACAAAATAGATTTACAGCATGTTCACCATTTGAGTATCTTTATTAGCAAGAAAATGCTAATATATGTGAGTATATATATATGATGTTAACAGTCTCTGCTCTGGAACTGAGTGAGATCTAAATTACATACAAATGATTTCTAGATCAATCACACTGCATCATAAGATACGGAAACCTGGGAACCCATTCTCAGATCAAATCCGGGTGTTTGATGACAGGATTAAAAGGAAGGAGGAAATCACTGATGTTGAAGTTGAAAGGTAAATTGAAGGAAGCACGTCTCTTCATAAATCATGTGTGCCACCTTGGCACCCCCACAAGACCATAAAAATGTAAAATCTGTTATAGAACCTAGATGAAAATGACCAAGACTATACCTATTAACCAAAATTTTGATTGGTCCACCTACACAGCTTTTTTAAATTGAGATAAGAAACACCCTAAAAAGGCACACAGTGTTAATTTATCTTTCAGTAATTATTAGTGGAACCTCTCCTGTTGTACCATCCATTATTTTACTAACATTTTTTTCAGCTACAAAATTCTTCTGAACCAAGCTCGCCAATTTGAGCTGGAAAATCACGATGTCATTTTGTGCACCTGCACTGCTGCCTCAAACCCAAACTTCACCATGAAATTGACCTTGCATCAAATTATTATTGATGAGTGTGCTATGGCAACTGAGCCAGAGGCCTTCATACCACTGACCATCCATAAACCCAAACAGGTCTGTTCTTCCCATAGAAATGGGAAGTTATTCAAAATATGTTAAAGTAGTACACACTCCCTATTGCATCCATCTTTTCTACCTGGTGCCATCTCTTCTTAAGGTGTTGGGTTTATACCGATCTTTCTTTAGCATATTCTCCTGTCATCTCTTCTTTGGTACTTCCTTCTGCTGTTTTTGTGATTGTTATATTTCATTTATATATTTAATTTTCTGAGAGTACCAACCATAACTCTCAGAATGTTCTCTTTTTCTCACAAGTATGGCCCTTTCCAGATCTTAAATTGAAGCGCCAAACTGAAAATATTAGCTTCTGTTAATGCATGTAACATTTTCATGATTTCAGATTGTTTTGCTTGGGGACCACAAGCAATTACGGCCCATTTTGCAAAATGATCTTACGAGGAAGTTAGGAATGGAGAAGTCTTTGTTTGAACGTTATGTGGGAAATGCTCTCATGCTGGATACACAATACAGAATGGTAGGCTGGTACTCACTGAAAGATATCATAATGCTCAATGTCATGTTGACTGTAGATTTCACAATGTGAAGTTGAGTCTCATTTCAAATCCAGCCATACAGTTTAGAAGGCTTGGATACTCCATGACCTGTGAAACATCAATACTGTAAATGTTTTTAATTATCCGTGGTATAGATGGACAATGTTACATTCATTGAATTAAATTAATTTAAATGAATTGTTTGAAAGCTGTCTAGCTAGGGTCTGAGATGACCTTCAAGATACAGTATATAATCTTTGGAGCTTTTTTGTTTTGTTTTTTTGTTAGCAAAAGAGCATATGTGAATTTCCTTCAAATGAGTTCTACAATGGTCAACTGATAACTGGAATTGGCCATAAACCCAGCATGCTGATGATTAAATCTCGGCCCACCGCTATCTTATTTGGACACGTTGAAGGGAAGGAGGAGAGACTAGTCGTCTCCACAGAGCAAGGGAATGAAAACTCAAAGGCAAATTCTGAGGAGGCCGAACATTCGGTAAGCTAATATTCACTGTACATACAGCACTGTACAGATGTCTTAGGCAGTCAAAGTAAATGTTTGCAGCTACTTATTTGGGTAGTAAGTATATATTTGCTCTGAAAAAAACCAGGAAAGCACAAATTAACATTAGAACATGCACACATTCATAGTAACACAACTCAGTGACATATTTTTTAGCCATACAGTATGGGCAGTGGTCAAGTCAAAACTACAGGGGTGTATTGGATGGTTACTGCAAATTCTGGCGTTGTTCTGAAATAGCTAAGCTGACACACTTTGACAAATAATATCTAACAATATATATTGTAAAAAATTTGTATTAAAAAACGTAAAGGTCATTTTGACATCTTAACCTTTGGCTACCTGAGACTTTTGCACAGTACTGTACATATGCATGAATGCCCATATATGGATATGCATCATGCTTGCAGTTTTCATTTCTTATTAACTTATGTTTTGCTGTTTCTTTAAGGTTCGTATAGCTTCACTTCTAATAAGTCATTCTGGGATACAACCTGAGAGAATTGCCATTCTAACACCATACAATGCCCAGGTGGCAAAAATTAAGGAAATCCTGTCCAAAAGAAACATTACAGATGTCACTGTAACCACCATCGTGAAAAGCCAAGGTATTATTATTATTATTATTATTATCATTATTATTATCCCAACACAGCATATCATTGGTTAGCACTGTAGCCTGTGGAGGAAAAAATCAGATCTCAGTTCTGCAGCCAGACCCTTCTTGTTCTAGAGTTTATTCTATGTTTATTTTATGTACATATTAGTGACACGTGTCATCCATACATTTCATGACATCCATACATTTTGATTGGTCAAAAATGGGGGAGGCACAGTGGTACAGTGGTTAGCTCTGCCACCTCACACCTCTGGGGGCTTCGTCTCTCTGTCCTGGCTCCTTGTGTGTGGAGTCTGCATTCTCCCTGTGTTGTCATGGGGTTTCCTCTGGGTTTCCCTGTACAGTTCAAAAATACACTGAGGTGAATTGGAGCTACCAAATTGCTCTTAGGTGTGCATGTGCAAATGAATGGTGTGTGAGTGTGCCCTGCGATGGGCTGGTGTCTTGTGATGGGCTGGTGTCCTGCGATGGGTTGGCACTCCATCATGGGTTGTTCCCTGCCTTGTGGTCATAAGCTCCAGACCCCTTGTAACCCTGAATAGGACAAATGGTTACAGAAATTGGACAGATGGTCAAAAATGATTTCACCTTCATGCCAGGGAATAGTTCCACTCAGCAACTAAATCACTTACTTTAACTAAGATGATATTGGCTCCCCAACTATTTTGGTACTTCCCAAGGTCAACATGCACCCCAGATCACCTTTTGACTTTTAACTTCTCATTGCAGTGCTTCCCAATTTCTCAAATTAACCGGATCTTTTGTTGAACTTCTGTCTCCACGCCCGGGATGTTTTCAAAAGATTGAACTTGTCCTTCTGTTGACCTTACTATCCTTTGTTTTCTACACTCTGTTTAGCAGACTTGGTAAGCTCATTAACAATGCTTTCATTCCTGCATTGTAATCCTTGCATAAGCATCTTCATATGTTTTTATCTGCTTTATCTCTTAACACCTGGTAAATCAGTAAAATCAGTTCGCTTGTTAATAACACGGCTATATCTCTTTCTTGGAATCAAATCAAACTTTTCTTCCATAAGCCTCACACCTCCAGGGCTGTCAGTTTTGATTCCTACCCCTTGCTCTGCTTGTGCGGTTTGCTTTCCCCTTGGTCAGGTAAAATTCCTTCTACAGTCCAAAACTCAACATGTTGAGTTATTGCCTCTAAATTCGTGTCCTGTGATGGGCCGACGTTCTGTCAATGGTGTCCTCTGTTTTGTGGGAGGCTCTAGGCTCACCAAAACCCAGTACAGGTGCAATGGTTGTGGAAGATAGACGTGTGGATGTAATACACTGATGATATCATAAGACGCATCTGTTCAGAGCACAGTATCATCCGGAAATGTAATGTAATTTGACCTCTGAATTAGCTATAGCTGTTGGCCAGTCCTTACAGGTTTTCTTCCTTGTCACAGGAAGCGAATGGCGCTATGTCATCATGTCTACCGTGTGCTCCTGTCCGCAATCAGAGATTGAAACGGAACCCACCCGCACGTGGATAGTGCAAAAGCTGGGCTTCGTCATGGATCCCAACCAAGTCAATGTCGGCATCACCAGAGCACAAGAAGGACTCTGTATTTTAGGTAAAATAACATTACTCAGCATTTGCAATGTGTCTTACTTGTGTTTTTGTTTTAATAATGATGTCAAACATATTTTCCATTTAGGACTCTTAAAATTATCAATTTTGGTCATATTGATTCATACAAGAGACTCTTTCAAAATCCATTTGAAGGAGTGAAAGAGATCCCAATGTAACAGTGGTCTTAGAGATTAAACTTTGTTGTATGTTAATACATTGTGACAAGTGCGTCATACATCCTTTGTAGGCAACAAGAACTTGCTACGGTGCAGCGCCCTTTGGAGGAGATTGCTGGATCATTACTGCAGACATGACTGTGTGGAGGATAATGCAAAGGACATTTGGGTCCAGAGCAGAACTGTGAAAAAAAAGAATAAATCCTACAAGTTCAGCCGTCAGATGAAGTAAAACATTCTTCAAAATCTCTGGAGGTTATCACCAAGATGACACACCTTTATTACCTTCAGAAAGTGCTCTTGGTTTTTAATGAATGGTTCTCAGATCTTTCCTTGGAGACTCCCCCAGTCACCCATACGTGTTCTTTTCCACCATTAATTAATTAACAGAATAGTGAGAAGTTCATCAACTCCAACAGATGGTCTGGTGGTACAATATAATGTGTACCAAGACAATATGTAAAATGGGAGTTTTCAGGAGTTTTAAAAACACCTCGTTTGGAATAAGGTCTGAGTAGTTGATGCATAGATGGACACTGGGTGTAAACAATGGAACACCTGCCAGTGGTTTGGAACATCTGTGTTTGTTTAATAGTCCTCCCATTAGGATAAGTTGTAAATAGGAGTGGAGGCGAGGATGCCCTCAATAATGAACTGAAAGACAAAAATAAAGTAATTGTGGAGTATTTACTATACAGTATGTAAGTGTAAACCAGTGTGGTGGGGTTTGCTTGGTTAAGCAGGGATGATATGAAAACCATCCTCGCTAATTTATACAGGGAATTTGGAGGTCTGATAAACATCATTATGTAATGACTGTGTACATTGTAATAACTGCACATAATGTAATAAAATAATGTAACAATCTGCCAATAATGTAATAACAATGGTGAGCACATAATGTAATAACAATGGTGAGCACATAATGTAATAACAATGGTGAGCACATAATGTAATAACTTATTGCACATAATGTAGTAAGTTATTACATCATGTGCAAGTTATTACATTATGAACTTAGTGTAAATGTTTCTGTTAAAAATGTAATATATTGAAACATATTGTAATTACTAAATAAAATGGTTTAAAAATGCTTTAAGGTCCAGTATGTGCAGTTTATATGTAGCATAATTTCCATCCACCCCAACCCTCGTATCATAGCCTGCATGAGCCACATTTCCATTCTCCCTCATGTTTACAAGCATCAAGTCACCATTGATATACAGTATAAACCATGTACAACTGTAGATTGTTTCTTTTGTGGATTTTAGGTGTTTATGTACTGAAATGTAGTACCCGTTCCCAGAATCCACCTCAGAAATGGGAAAAGGAATTCAGTTTTGAACCATTTTTAAAAAGCAATACTAACTCAATGGGCCCTATTTTCCACCAATGCAAAGTAGTTTTGCTAGTTTCATACCCACACATCGCTCATTTTCACACCACGTGCACATGTCGTCAAAATAGCCTGTAAAGGAATCTAAACTGTGAGATATAAAATATCAGCCCTATTACCTTTTGTTTGAACATTTTAAAGCACTTAAAATGTTTTTTGTTTCAACAACGGTTGCACTTTAGTGTATATTTTGCAAACTGCAGACCCAAAATTAAAATGAAAAAAACATACAAGCATAATTAAGTCCCCGTTACCAGATGCTGCTCTCGTTCAGCAGTGAGCTTCCGTTTCCCCGTCTTCTGACATCATTATACTGCTTTTGGCCCTACACAGGTGATCTGGTGATGCCAGAAAACGAGGACTCACTCTCTGCAGCCTCATCCCATACCCACTTCACCTCACAAGGCTTTAGTGGAAGTGCTGATGACATGGTCAAACCTTTTCACCTTGTACATGAGCGATCTGGCCTGCCTGGCAAATGCACCATTATAATAGCAATCCGCCGCGGCCTTTTAACAGCAATAGCAATCTGCTGCTGCCTTTTAAGGGCATATAGTAATGCACCACTGCCTTTTAAGGGCAATAGCAATCCGCTGCGGCCATTTAAGGGCAATAGCAATCCACTGCGGCCTTTTAACGGCAATAGCAATCCACTGCGGCCTTTTAACGGCAATAGCAATCCGCCACTGCCTTTTAAAGGTGAGGTGACGTGCCATTCTGATTGGGTTATTGCTTTACGCCCAAAACATGCCTTTAAATAATTAAGAGACTTAGGACAACCTTTTTGGCCGTGCAAAGTCTGTTTTTTCTGTGGTCAAAGTAGCAAAATGGATTTTGACACATCCATAAATGTTAGTTTTTTTGTGTTAGATCGTCAAAAGAGAGCGCAGTGACGAAGATAGAAACTTTCAATTAAGCACCAGCATGAGGGACAGCACTTCTGGAACTGTGTTTGATGAGTCAAAGGTGGAGTTGTGCACAATTCCAGATGTCATATTTGGTGAAAAAAATAAATAAATTGAGAAATAGAATTTCACAATAATTGGAAAAGATTGGTGCTGGGAGTGTTTTGGTTTGGGGCTGCTTTGCTGCCTCAAGCCAACTTACCATCATGGAGCCTACAATGAATTCAACATCATACCAGAGAGTGCTTGAGGAGAATGAGAGGAAATCTCTCAGGAAGTTGAAGCTGGCGTTCACGTTACCTGGCTGAAGTGACCCAAATCCAAATTTTTGCCTTGATGTGATACAAATCTGTTGATTTCAGGGCTGTGTGGACACAGAAATTGAATATTTTCAAATCATATTTGAGCCACTTTCACATGTGGCCCTAAATCAGATATGTATCCGATTCATGGCCTTGCAACATCAATGAGACCGGTCAGATCGGAATTCATATGGCCTTTTGCCTATACACATGGGCTGAGTGCTATCAGCCAGCACCGGCAGCGCAGTAAAACAACAAGGGAAGAGAGCTGCGGCTGAGACAACAGTTGGTGGAAGTGTCACACCCAGCCCAGCTGAGCCTCCTGTTTCCCTCCCCAGCGTGGCCCTAATGAGCCACGCCCCTTTCATATTAGTCTGACCTCACGCCCTTCAGTTATACACTCCAGCTGCCTCTTGTTATGTTCCCCTGTTAGTCTTTGTATAAAAGTGCTTCCTGGTCCTGCCATTAACTTCTTAACGTCTCTCCATTTCTTTGCCTGCATCCTTCCCCAGTTTAGTCCTCCTGTTTGAACCCCTCGCAGTTCCGTTTGGTTTCTGGCCCAGTTTCATTCTGTTTGGCTTCGGATTTAAATAGAACCCCTGTCAGTTTTGCCCCTGACCCCCCCCACCCACCTGCTTCTGTGTCCCTCGTCCTGCCTGACATAACAGGAAGGATGGGGAAGTTGGCAATATATTAGGTATTTGGGGAAATGAATCGGGCTACACACAAAACAACATAATTAGACAGTAATATTTTCTACTGCAATGCAAGATCATTACGAAAGCCCAACATATACCCTTCGCATATATGATGGAGTGTATTAGGATGAATACGCGGATGATTACTGTACGTCGCCCCCATAGCATAGAATTAATAAGGCTTGTTCACTGTCCTCCTGTTACTGTGATATTCTGGGAAGTTGTGATTGTTCAACTTCACCTAGCAGACATACATATGAGGTAATTGAGGTACTAATTGATTCTGATTGTGTATGGACTAATCATCCTGAGATTCAAATACGTTGTCCATGATTCACACATACTATTATTGTGCCAAGGTTAAACTGCAGAAACATGTTTTTCACTGGTCACTTATATAACTTTTTTTTTTTTTACCAATAATTGGTTTTGCGGAACGCTTATCTCGTCCTGGGACACTTATCTTGCTTTTGGGGAAGATGAGAGAGCATTGCCCAAGGACGCTGTTGGAGTTTGCCGTCTCCACCGGGTCCGTGGATGAGAAGAGATTCACAGCTGAGACGAGGAGTAGTTGCAAGTCACTGGTTTATTCTCTGGCAGATTGCAATCTGGGAGCGACTGTCCGACATACATTCAGCATGTACAGTATGAGGCTCGAACAATAGTTATCGGTTCTGTATTTTTATAGCACCTCTGGGGTGTCCCTCCCTCTTTTGGTATTTTCCCAGCTACGTGACATCAACATGTTTTTAAATTTGCTCCAGTTAGTCCGTTATTACATGTCCCCCCTCCCAGCATCTTATTGTGTCAGCACTTTTGCAACCCCCTTTTTGTTAAGCAAAACTTAAAATAAGCATCTGTTCCTGTTTTCCAGCTGTCCGGGATGAGGTCACCCTGCCCTGCTCACACACTGTCAGTTCCTGATTTCTTCCGACTGTCTTGGGCGAGATTACCCTGTCCTGCCGGCCCACTGTCCGTTCGTGTTTCGGTTAGCTGAATTATTTTAGAAGCTGCCTTATTTTAGAATTAACCCCTAAACACTCATCTTGTTAAGAAGGGAAAGTGTTGCCCAAGAACACGGTCCTTGTTTTTCTAGAAATTAAAAGAGAATGTGTTACTTTAGTGGAAGTTACTTCACTAAAGTTTCACTCCAATTAGATGTGAGAACTGAGAGCACCTTGCCTGAGGGGAGGGGTAAGCCTGACCAGCCCATTCCCTGCCGACACGCACCCAGTCGCTACAGTATATACAGTATCTCACAAAAGTGAGTACACCCCTCACATTCTTGTAAATATTTTATTACATCTTTTCATGGGACAACACTGAAGATATGACACTTTGATACCATGTAAAGTAGTCAGTGTACAGCTTATACAACAGTGTAAATTTGCTGTCCCCTCAAAATAACTAAACACACAGCCATTAATGTCTAAACCGCTGGCAACAAAAGTGAGTACACCCCTAAGTGAAAATGTCCAAATTGTGCCCAATTAGCCATATTCCCTCCCCGGTGACATGTGACTCAGTAGTGTTACAAGGTCTCAGGTGTGAATGGGGAGCAGGTGTGTTAAACTTGGTGTTATGTGGCACTTTGAGATTTTGTTAATGAAAAGTGCGTTATAAATAAAATGTATTATTATTATTATTTATTATTATCGCTCTCACACTCTCTTATACTGGTCACTGGAAGTTCAACATGGCACCTCATGGCAAAGAACTCTGAGGATCTGAAAAAAGGAATTGTTGTTCTACATAAAGATGGCCTAGGCTATAAGAAGATTGCCAGCACCCTGAAAGTGAGCTGCAGCATGGTGGCCAAGACCATACAGCGGTTTAACAGGACAGGTTCCACTCAGGACAGGGCCTCGCCATGGTCGACCAGAGAAGCTGGGTGCATGTGCTCAGCGTCATATCCTGAGGTTGTCTTTTGGAAATAGACGTATGAGTGCTGCCAGCATTTCTGCAGGGGTTTGGGGGGGGGGGGTCAGCCTGTCAATGCTCAGGCCATACGCCGCACACTGCATCAAACTGGTCTGCATGGCCGTCATCCCAGAAGGAAGCCTCTTCTAAAGATGATGCATAAGAAAGCCCGCAAACAGTTTGCTGAAGGCAAGCAGACTATGGACATGGATTACTGGAACCATGTCCTGTGGTCTGATGAGACCAAGATAAACTTATTTGGTTCAGATGGTGTCAAGCGTGTGTGGCGGCAACCAGGTGAGGAGGACAAAGACAAGTGTGTCTACAGTCAAGCATGGTGGTGGGAGAGTCATGGTTTGGGGCTGCATGACTGCTGCTGGCACTGGGGAGCTACAGTGCATTGAGGGAACGATGAATGCCAACATGTACTGTGACATACTGAAGCAGAGCATGATCCCCTCCCTTCGGAAACTGGGCCGCAGTGCAGTATTCCAACATGATAACGACCCCAAACACACCTTCAAGACGACCACTGCCTTGCTAAAGAAACTGAGGGTAAAGGTGCTGGACTGGCCAAGCATGTCTCCAGACCTAAACCCTATTGAGCATCTGTGGGGCATCCTCAAACGGAAGGTGGAGGAGCGCATGGTCTCTAACATCCACCAGCTCTGTGATGTCATCATGGAGGAGTGGAAGAGGATTCCAGTGGCAACCTGTGAAGCTCTAGTGAACTCCATGCCCAAGAGAGTTAAGGCAGTGCTGGAAAATAATGGTGGCCACACAAAATATTGACACTTTGGGCACAATTTGGACATTTTCACTTAGGGGTGTACTCACTTTTGTTGCCAGCGGTTTAGACATTAATGGCTGTGT